AGCCCCGTCGTGTCGACTTTGCCGTGGAACCTGCTAGCTCTGCCGATAACGCTCAGGCTGAGACGTCAGCTGGCCGCCGCCCTTTTCCCGGTCTTCGCGGCATGTCCCTTCGTCCTGTTGCCAGGAACTTGGCGCCGGCTGTGTTTGTCACTGGCCCTGATTCCGTCAACTCCCCACCGGCCTCTTCCGGCCCTGTTCCGCGCGTCCGTTACGGCATTCGCAGGACGAACTCGCTGCCGGACCGCCTCAGCCAATCACTGTACCGTCCTCAGGGTGCCTTGATGCCTTCGCAGATTCCAATGTCGGCTGTTGTTGACGGCGCTATCCCCGATAAAGACGACGATCATCCCGACGACTTGTCCCGCGTCAGTGCTATCATCCTCTTGCTCGTATCTACCGTCTTGGTAGCCGTCTGCGCCGAGTTCATGGTTGACTCAATTCACGACCTGGTTGAGACTGCCAAGGTTCCAGAGCTCTTCATTGGCTTGATTATCCTTCCCATCGTCGGCAACGCCGCTGAACATGTCACGGCTATTACCGTTGCCATGAAGAATAAGATGGATCTGGCGATCGGCGTCGCTGTGGGTAGTTCTATCCAAATCGCCCTCTTCATCACGCCGCTTGTCGTCATTATTGGTTGGTGCATGGACAAAGACATGACGCTCTACTTCACGCTGTTCGAGACGGTCTGTCTGTTCGTCTCAGCTTTTATCGTCAATTTCTTGGTGTTGGATGGCAGGAGTAACTACTTGGAAGGGGCACTGTTGTGTGCGACATACGTCATCATAGCCTTGGTGTCATTTTACTCCCCTAACCCGACCATGCCGGGCCAGAGTGCTTAGAGAGACGCCACAAAGACGGTCAATGTCACAGAGGACGAAGGATATGGTTGATTCATAAGGAATATGCGGAAGCTATGAGGGAGGACATTTTATACCTTTGCTTTCTAGATGCCAGCATACCGGATCACGGGATGTAGCTGAGCTGTTTATGTACTTGCTGCTTCAATGTGCATCAGTCACTGGGCTGGCGGGGTTGGTTGGATTCTGGTCTGTGGCAGCAGTTTTGGGGAACAATTACCGGTACGGGTACGGCTCTGACGAAATGGGACTGGCCCGATGTCTTAATGATGGCTGCTGGACACCAAGCGGTAGAATATTATGCGATAATGGAATCACGAATTGACCTGGGAGCGAATTGTGCTGCATATGAACCAGTCTAATGTAATGTTGACATCTGATATTCACTAGTATCAATGTGGTCACCTCTTATCTTTGATGCCCGAAGCGAGAACGTTGAAAGGGGCAACCCGGCCGTACTTATTACCTAACAGTGCGCAGCTAGAAGTGTTACCTTGACACTAATACGGTAGCGTACGGCAACAGTTCAGTCTGTCGTTCAGTCGGTGCCGGCCTCACTGCAGCTGCAGCAGAACGCGGCGCTCCCCTGCAAAGATCATGCTCGCCCCCCCGTTCAAATGCTGATCCACCAAAACCACTACCATATTCATAACAAGATAAAACAACGGAATCAAGGCCTGAACACACAAGTTCAACTGCAATCGAATGCCCTGTTACCATAGAAGTAGTTCTTCTTTTAATTCCACGCTTCGCTGTATCATTGGATTGTTGCTAAGGAAGCGTTACGAGCGGTCCCGCCTGCCTTTGTTTTGGTGGATCAGTTTTGGTGGGGGTGGGGAGCGAGAGATGGAACCTTTCGTCGCTTGGCCCCGTGGCTTCGCGTGGATCGACCCGCGCACTCAATTTCACAATTGTCGCACCCTCAACCGCCGTAGCAAATCGTCGCCAACTCCGCGTCCACAACCACGACTGTAAGGGGAATTTCGCACCATGACTTACGACTGGGATCCCTATAAAGACATATGCCATCGTCTCTACGTTGAAGAAAGGCGAAGCTTTGCCCAAGTTGCCCGATACATGGCAGAAAACCATGGATTTACCCCCAGGTACGTGAACAACACTCTTCGTCCATCTCCCTCGCCGTACACAGTACAACGAATGGGAGTCTTGGGCGGTGTATACAGCTCGCGCAGCAAAACTGCAGCTTTGGACAGCCTGTTCCTCAACACCAAACTTTCCCACGTAGTTTACCTTGCTTGGCTTACTGACCATGACGCTTTACTTCCAGCCGGCGTACCTATTGGTACAAGTTCAGGGAATGGGGCTGGCCCATCAGGGTCAACAAAGCCTACAGCAACACCGAGTTGATTGCCAGAGTCAAGGAACTATGGGAACAGAACCTCAAAGCAACCGAGATGGTGCGCGTCCTCAATGAGGAAGGCTACGACATAAACGATCGCACGCTCAACAGGATCCGCCAAAAGTACAATTGGAAATTGCGCTTGAAGACTATCCAAGACTTACGAAAAGGCATCATCAGGCCGCCTGGGCAACCGGCTAACGGAACAGATGATGACGACAACAATGGCAGTGACGGCGACAGTGATTCCGCTGATGATAGCGACAACGACAGCGAAGAGGTAAGTAGCGAGGAGGACGAAGAAGATGATGAGGAGGAGGAAAACGCCGCCGAAGACAATGGACAAGGGTCGTCTAACACACATGGCCAACGCCAACATCAGCAACAGCAACACCAGAAATCAGCATCTGCAAGTTTGCCACTTGGCCCAGATGACGAACTGACCCCCGAACAACGTGCTCGCAGAGAAGAGAGGCGCCGAGTGCTCGAGCAAGAGTCGGCAGAACGTTGGGCTCTCAAGAAGCGACGACGGAGAACCAAGGGGTGGGCAGGCCTGCCTCCAGACCCGAGTGGTCTGCCTCCTCGCTTTCCATCCGAGACAACCCTAGACGAAGCCAAGGTCATCCTGCAGCTCGACGCTGCGGCCTACAAGACGCTGCGGGAGAACTTTGAAAAGATTTGCAGGGAGAACAACGTAATCAAGAAGACAATTGCCGGGCCCGAGAAGTGGGAAGCCATGAAGGAGCAGATGATCCGCGATAGCATGCATCTCCGCGCCATCATGTGGGATCAAGCCAACATGGAGCAGAAGAAGATCGCGATCGATGTTATCTGCTGCGACGTGACCAAGCGGATCAGGACGATGCAGTCACACATGACACTAGCACAAGCCCGCAACCTCCTCGGGCTGAATCCGGAGCAGGGTAGATACATTCGCGGAACGCTTTACCTGCTACTGGGTCAGGAGAAGTTTGGGTTCAAGCATGTCGAAGGTATCGACAAGTGGAATGAAATGGTACAGAAATGGTTCGACACCACGGAGCTATTGCAAGAACTCTTTCCTCCAGGCTGTGAGCACTGGCCTAACGCCAAAGAGAGGAAGAGGGCTATCGAGCTGCTGGCCCGTGACGGAATGAGAAGATACAGAGGCGATCAAGCAAAGTTGGAGAAGGATGCTTTGAATCCACCGCCTCCCAAGGTTCCTAGAAAGCGTGCTCCTCCAAAACCGAAGCCGGTCCCGACGCCCGCTCAACTTGAGGCGGCTGCGAAGAGAGCCGAGAAGGCTGCTGAGAAGGCCGCGAAGGCCGCTCAACCCAAACGGGGCCGTGGCCGACCCCCGAAGAATAATACGGTGGGGCCATCAACGGCAACGGCAATGGCCACGGCAACGGTGCCGCATACAGCTGTGCGGCTCGCGCCATTGGAATCGTCAAGCTCGGAGGAGAGCGAAGCGGATCAGGATGCCCAAGATGCGGACAACGGCAACTTGGATCCGGATTATCTGCTGCAACAGTCAATTGAAGCCGACACTTCGTTTGGAAGTTATTCTGCCAACACTCATGTTGCCAGTGGAAGGGGCAGTGCTGGCGCCAACGTCGGTGCCAATACAATTACTGCCCAGGCCTCTTCACACACTCCGAATCTTGCTCAAACTCAAAGTCGGCCCCAAACCCATTCCCAAGCTACGCAGAATTACACAACCAACCGTAACCATATGCAGCAAAGTTATGCCACTTCGAACCATGGCTTAACCCAGTCTCATACCCAACCGCCACCCCTCACCATGTATACACAGCAACAACAGCAGCAGCAGCAGCGACAGCAACAGCAACAGCAACAGCAACAACGCATCCAGCAGGAAGCCATCCAGCGGCAAGCAAGAGCCCGACAGCAGCACTTCCAGCAAACCGCCTCGGTCCCAGTCCAAGTCTCACAGCCAGTGGCAACTACCTCGTCAACCTCCACCTCGTCCTCCATGGCCATCTACTTCCGCCTTCACGCATCCTCGCCTCTCCAAGGCGTGGTCTCGCGCATTTGGATCGCCACCCTATCGGGCCGCTCCGTCCAGGAACTACGCAGCACCGCAGTGGCCAACTATCCGGGCGTGGTGTGCCTGGCAATCGAGGGAATCGTCAAGGATGGAAAAGGCGGAGAGTTGCCGTTACCGGTTAGCGACGACATGGAGATGGAGGCGTATTTGCAGCATATCCAGGGCATGGGGAGCGGAGCACCGACGTTTAGTGTTATGCTTGTGCCGGCGGCAACAGCGGCGGCGGCTGGAGGTGTGGGGGGGTCTTGGTGAGGGATTGGCATAGGAGTGGCTGTGGCAGAGGTGATGTATCTCGCTCTATGTATGATTCTGTGGGAGTTTTTCGGGCATTTGCCGATTTCTCGCCCCTTGTAAAATTTTATGGCTTTTAGGAGAGCCTCAGGCTGTAAGTTAGCAGAGCAGACGAGAACCGTCCTTGAGGATGGAACATGAGTGCCAGGCATACATCGAGCATAAATGACACTATGTGAACGACCGCGTGGGCTTGCGGAGTGCGACGCCCGGTTTAACGTCCGCATGGCCCCAAATCTCGGACTTTCCAAGTCGGACATCGGCCGGTAGTGCTCCGGCTTTTGCGGTGGATTTTTCCCGATTTTCCGGCGGAGGCCTCCACTTTCCCCGATCCGTACCCGAACGACGACGTCATGGGGTGCCAGGGGGCTTAGACTAAACGCTGCCCCTGCGCCTTAGTGGGTTATTTGGGGGTGGAGAACCATGACACCCTGTTCAGGGCATGTCCTGCGGGGTACAGCGGCCTACTGTACCAGGTAACGGGACTTCTCCTTCGTTTCTCATCGTCACTTGGAATTCAGTATGCTAATGGAATTTGACTGGTTCTAACTGGCACCTACTGACTTAAGCAAGTATCACCATGATGTAGTCGGGTATAACTTGGATGCGTGCATACTTATGTTGCAGGAGTGCTTGTTACCAAAGCGTCCGATAGTCCGATCGGACGGAAATGGACCAACATTAGACAATGACCAACTGGCCAGATTCGTACTACAAACACCCGCTTCAATACAAAAGAGCAGCCAACTGGACTCCCCTGAACGGGTTAAAGATCGGAGCACTTCCACTTCGCCCGCACCTGCTGCGTAGAGGTACTCAAAATTTTAGTGGTGTGTAAGACATCCCACCCAATCGGCAACCTCGACTACTTTACAAGAGACGGGAGTTAGCCCAGTCATCCATCACGCACTTTACCATGTGTTTCGGGAGCAAAGACAAGGCCGACGATACGCCCGGTCCTCGACCAGCACAGCATCAACAGTCACCACAGGCTTCAGGAAAGGTCAACATGCCTTCACCGGCGCAGTCCCACTATCAGCAGCAGCCTCAATGGCAGCAGCAGCAGCAGCAACAGCAACAGCAACAGCCAGCTCATGGCGACAGCAGTCAGAATGACTATGCCCCTCCTTCGGGACCACCTCCAAACTTTGGGCATAGCCAGCAACACTCCAGCACCGACTACGCTCCTCCGTCCGGTCCTCCTCCGAGCTGTGGACATAACCAGTCCTCTACAAATGATGATTTTGCCCCGCCACCTGGTCCTCCCCCTACCCACACCAGACCGAACCAAAGCAACCATGACTTTGCTCCTCCTCCTGGCCCTCCTCCCTCCCAACGTCAACACCATGACGATTACGCCCCTCCTCCTGGCCCTCCTCCCTCCCATCACCGACCGCCGGTGAACGACGACTACACCCAGCCTCCTCCCGGCCCTCCACCTTCCCAGTTCCAGTCCGCCGCCAACAAGCAACACGACTGGGAATCCTTCGTGCCGGACACGGCTCTCTTCCCCCCTCCTCCGGCCTTCTTCACCGGCTACGACCGCTCGCATACCACCAACGCCACGGAAGAAGAAGCCAATGCGGGCGAAGCCTGGTGCGTCCAAAATCCGCTGACGGCACCGATGGATCTGGACCCAGTGGCGCTCGACGCGCTTCGCACGCACAACATCCGGCTCATGGCGTCCCCGCAGTTCCGCGGCAAGCTCGACTGGGTCAGCCAGGGCGTGTGGAAGGGAAAGACGGAGAAGGTGGCGGGTGATGCATGCATTATCAGTTACCCGCCGTTGTATTGTGTCAAGTATGACTCGCCCTTGATCCCTTCGGCCGCCGCCCAGAGGACAAAGTCTATTTACTACGAGGTATCAATCCCTCCTCCTCGTTCGGCGGCAGCATCTAATAACCACCCCTTTCTGGGCGGCGGTGGAGGAGGAGGAGGAGGCAACGACGACGAAATCACCCTAGCGCTAGGCTTCACAGCCCTTCCCTACCCGGCCTTCCGCATGCCAGGCTGGCACCGCGGGTCGCTGGCCGTGCATGGCGATGACGGGCACAAGTACGTCAACGATCGGTGGGGAGGCAAGGATTTTACGAGGCCGTTCAGAAGGGGGGAGACGTACGGTATCGGTATGACGTTTACTAACACCGGCGGAAAGCTGGATGTGAATGTCTTTTTCACGAGGGAAGGGAGAATCACAGAACAGTGGGATTTGCATGAGGAAGGTGATGCGGAACAGGACTTGCCGGTTACGGGCTTGGAGGGGTTTCATGATTTGAGTTGTGCTATTGGAACGTATTCGGCTGTCGAATTTGAGGCTGTCTTTGAGCCGAGTAGGTGGAAGTTTAGGCCGCAGGGCTTGTGAGTGGCTTTGGGGGAAGTTTGACCTGAGAGATGCGAGTTGGAGAGAGAGAATGGGCAATGCTGTGATATCATGTTATGATATTTTTAAGGATCAGGGGTTTCTTCTACTCCGTCGCTGTCTGTGTTTGTTTTCCCCTCATGCTGGTATCACTCGGAATCAAGGTACGCGATACTCATTCCTAGGACAAGTTGACAAAATGTAAACCCACAGAAAATCATTCTTTTTGTCTAAGTACCAGCATATACACGGTAGGGGTATCTATCCTTTTAATAATCCGCCCGTCAACACAATGACAATATTATCTGCATGAACGCCCCAACGGCTACGCCCAGCTTCTTAATCCAAGCCGGTCCACTCCTCTTCCTCCTTCTCGGGGGCAGCACCGCCCTCCTTCTGCGCCTTCTGCGCCTCCCTCTTTCTCCTCTTGCTAGCCTCAATAGCCTCCCGCCTGTTATTCTCCCTCCGCCTCTCCCAACTGCTCTTAGTCGTGATCGTCGCCTTTCCGCCTGTCCGCCTGCTCTCCACCCCCCTGACCTTCAACTTCCTCTTATCCTCCTTGGCCACCTTGGGCAGCGCATCCAGCAGCCACTTTTGCACGCTACCCTGGGCGGCCTTGACGGCATCTTTCTCGTCGATGTCCTTGCCCGCCTGCTTCTCGCTCATGGCGATCACGTTGGCGACCGACTTGACAAAGGGGATATCGTCCTTGGTGTAAAAGGTGACGGCCACACCGCCCTCGCGACCGGCGCGACCCGTGCGTCCGGCACGGTGCACGTACGCCGCGGCGGACACGGGCACGTCGTAATTGACGACGCCGTTGACGCCAGCAAAGTCGACGCCGCGCGCCAGCACGTCCGTAGTGATCAGCACCCACACCTCGCCGCTGCGGAAGCGGGCCATGATCTTGGACCGGACCGAGTCCGGGAGCGACGAGTGCAGGACTGCCACGCGGGCCGAGCCGCCCGCCTCGAGCGGGATGTCGTACTTGAGCTCGTCGTGGAGCGCCTGGGCACGCTCGATAGTCTGGGTGAAGACGAGGAAGGGCGGGCGCAGCGGCGGGCCCGAGTCGGCCGAGGACACGGGGTGGAGGAGCTGGCGCAGGGCGAGCAGCTTGCCGGGCTCTGTGGCCGTGTAGATGAGCTTGTGCGTGATGTTGGGCACGGCGGTGTCTTTGAGACCAACGACGAGGCGGATCAGGGGCTTGGGAGTCTGTTCGGGGGTGCGCTTGGCGCGCTTGTCGATGTGTTTGGTGAGGAGAGCTTCGATGTTGGAGGCCATGGTGGCCGACCAGCACGTCATGCCGAGGTTGGGGTGGGTGCAGGCACGCCAGATACCCATGGTTTGCTTGCGGAAGATGGGATCAAGGAGAACATCGGCCTCGTCAAGGATGAGGGATTGCACGGTGGGGAGCGTCTTCTTGATGATCCTGGGCTTGCCCTTCTCCTTTTCGCCTCCGCAGAGGAAGTTGAGGAGGATCTTGGGGGTTGTCACAAGAATGTCTACCCTGGTGATCGGCCTCTCCTTCTTGGACTTCTGGTCACCCTTGGCCCTGCTCTCCGCTTTTTTCTCGGCGTCAGAATCGCTTTCATCTTCTTCCTCTTCTTCTTCCTCGATTTTCATAACCTCCTCAGGCTCGCTCTCTGCTTCGCTGTCGCTGTCACTGTCTTGAACCTCTTCCTTGGCTTCCTGCTCCGTCTCCTCCTGCTTATTTGACTCTGCCACCAACCGCAGCGTCCTCTTCATGAGAACCACGCGCACGCCGGTTCCGATAGCCAACTTCCTTCCTTCATTGACAATTTGACTTGCCAGCTCTCTCGTAGGCGCAACCACGATGGCCTGCAGAACATGCTCGTCTGTTTCAGGGGTGTAATCCTCGGCCCTCCTTTTGATAATGGCATCGATAGCGGGAATCAAGAAGCTGATAGTCTTGCCACTGCCTGTCGGCGCAACACCGAGGAAGTCGATTCCCTTTTCAACTTTGACGTCTTCCACATCTGTGGCCTTCTCCAACGCCATCTCTGGTCGCAGCTGCAGTGGCAAGCTGCCCATCTGCACCTCAGTCGGCACCCGGAATCCCTGCCGCGTGATGTTGTCCGCCAACACGGGGTGAATGCCGTAAGTGTACTTGAGCTCGCCAAACGAGTTGAGCGGCTGCGGGTAGATTTGCTTTTTGTCTTCGTCTTTCTTCTTTTTCTTCTTTTCCTCCTCTTCCTGCTTCTTCCTGTCCTCCTTCTGCTTCTTCTGCTTCTTGGGCGGCTTCTCCTCCGTAGCCTCCTCGTCTTGTGGCACGCGACCGGCTAGGACTGTGAACTTTAACCGATGGGACTTGAGTATCTGTCGGCATTCGTTTTCTTCCAAAAGCTTGGGCTTTTGCTTCTTGGGCTCGTCCGCCTTCAACTCGGCATCCTTCTTGGCGGCAAGCTCCTCGGGGGTGGGCTTGGGCGCAAAGTAATCGACGTCGCTGGCATCGTCGTCTTCGTCTCCGCTCTCGGTCGCGTTGTTGGCCTGAGCCCCCTTCCTCTTTCTCTTCTTGCCTCTTTTTGCGTTGGCGCCGCCGACATTGTCGTGAAAGAATTGGGGATTGACTTTTGCTCCGGCGGAGGGAAGGAGCTGCGGTGCGCCTGGCTGGTTTTTCTTGGGCTGGGCTTTGATGCCTCGCGAGAGGACTTTGAAGATATCCATGCTGGAAGATTTGCTTTCGTAGGATGTGGTGTCGGGGCTGAGTTAGATAATTGACAGAGAATACGAGCTGTACAAAGCTTTGTGGTGGTGGGTGAAATCAGGTAAATCTGGAGATGGGCGACAGAATGAACTGCTTGACTTTGCAAAACAAAAGAATTCTTGGAGTTTCCTTCCAATCGCCAGAACTGATCCATGAAAAATTTCCGCCCCGCAGCGGGCGCCAGTGCTTATCTTAGCGGCCTGGGTGGGGCTCCGCACCGCTGTACCCCAACTTTGGGCCGTCGAGGTTCCTTTTCACTTCGCGCTTACAACGCAGCTTGGGATGCAAATGCTCCCCTGGGCTGAACAATGTGAACAGGATTGCCCGCGCTGGAGACGTGAAGAAGAGGATGTCATGAAGGGGGGAGGGGTATCCATTTTGTGTACGGGCTCGTCTACTCTAGTCTATCTTATCTGTTTATGGTCGAAACTTTTTAATTTCTTTCATTGTACACCCTCGCCAACAACATCCTCGCACCGGACGCACAAGGAGTCCTCAGCAGGAGCAACGAATCGCCAGCACCTGGGGCATTTATGGTCTTTGGGAGGCAGAACCCACGCCTGGCAGCCCTGACCATCCATCTCGAAGTCCTGGACGTACTTCCAGGAAGGCTCTCCCTCTATGGCACCGCCGAGGTCTACAGAGGATACGACAAACATGGCATCTAGCTCGTCCTTGTACTTGTGCAGGACAGAGAGTGCCTTGCTGTCCTTGGGAGCCTTGATAACAACAGAGCAACCAAGGGACGAGCCAAGAACCTTGCCCCTGCGTGCCAGCTCGGACGCGGCTTTGATGGCGGCGTGAGTTTCCATCAGGACCGGGATGTCCTTACGAAGCACGCCTTCATCGTAGCTCAGACGGCTGGAATCAATCAAGGGCGAGTTATAGAGCTGATGAAGAGGATGAAGAATGGATGGGTCTTCCTTCATCCAAGCAGGTCGATGCTCCCAAGCCTCCTCGACCAGGACAGGTGTGATAGGCGCCAGCATTCTGAGGAAGCCCATAAAGATAGGCTCTAGGACACCACCGCCATCGGCGCAGTACAGCCTGTCCTTCAGGGCTTCGAGGTAAAAGGCAGACAGATCGTTGGCGATCCATCTGTTGAGACTGCTGAAAGCCTTGTTGAACTCGTAGTTTTGGTAGTGTCTCTCAATCTCCGCCATAGCATCCTTCAGCTGGACAAGAGCAATGTGGTCCAAGGCAGTAAGTGGAGCTGCTCTGGCTGACTGTTCCATCGAGCCCGTCAGCATCTTGATGATGGTGCGATACTTGGTTAAGGACTGATGGATAGTCTTCAGCACAGGCTCGCCGAGGACAATGTCACTGGTGTAATCACTACTCGCCACCCACAAGCGCAAGGCGTCGGGGCCGAGAGCATCCTTCGGGGGAGGCGCATTCGGATCCCTGTCCTTGTTCTTGACCTTCAGCGGAGGAAGTAAGGAACCATCCATGACCTGGTCCGCCGAAATGATGTTGCCTAGTGACTTGGACATCTTCTTGCCGGCTTTATCCAGCGTGAAGCCATGAGTGATGAGTGTCTTGAATGGTGACAGGCCAACGGCATTGGTCGTACCATCAGCTGTCGGGCCTTGAACCGCCATAGCTGCTACTCGAGTGAGCAAACTCGACTGAAACCAGCCGCGATGTTGGTCAGAGCCTTCGAGATAGACATCCGCTTGCCTATCCGTCTGGGTCCAGCTGCTACCACTGTCAAACCAGACGTCCATGGTATCTCTACCACGGGTGAAGGGGCCCTTGCCCCGAAGAGATGCGGGAATCCAGACAGGATCATGAGGGTCATCAGACCACCAGGCATCGGTGCCTCTCTCCTGAATGACGGAGATAATGTGCTCGATGGTCTTCTCAGTCATTACTGCATCGCCATTGGCATCGTAAAGTGCAGGGATAGGCACACCCCATGCACGCTGTCGTGAGATGCACCACTCGCTCCGTCCCTTGACGAAGGCTTCGAGTCTGCTTCTCCCGCTTTCGGGGACGAATTTGACCTCCTCCAAAGCCTTCAATGCCAACTCTTTGATGTTGTCCACATCAGCAAACCACTGCGCCGTGGCCCTGATGATGATGGGCTTCTTGGTCCGCCAGTCGTAAGGGTACTTGTGCTTGTACGTGTGCACGTTCAGAACATTGTCCTTAAAAAGCTCAAGCACGGCAGCAGAACCGCCCTCAAGCACAGGAATGCCCTTGAGCCGGCTTGGGTCGTCGGGGTAGGCTTCCTCGGTAAAGATACCATCGTTATCAACAGGTGCGGAAACAAGAATTCCCAAGTCTTTGCAGAGCAGGTAGTCATCGAAACCGTGGCCTGGGGCGCAGTGAACGAGACCGCTTCCCGAATCTGGCGTGACGAAGGGGCCGTGGATGAATGGCTGAGGAGCAGCAGATTTACCCTGGAGAGGATTGACGTACTGCAGCTGGGTGAGCTGGCTACCGGGCACAGTGGCTAGAATCTCGGGAGTCCCCTCCTCTCCCATCAAGACCTTGGCGACGCGCTCGAGACCGCCCTCAGCAACAAGATAGGCGTCATCACCCACGCGGACCGCATGGTAGAGCAGATCATCGTGTACGGCGATGGCTCTGTTGGCGGGGAGGGTCCAGGGAGTGGTCGTCCAGATAACGGCATAAAGATTGCCGGTAAAGCCTTCCAGGCCAGGGATGCGAGCGGAATCCTTGGTGATGGGAAATCTGACGTATGCAGATTTGGAGATATGCGCCTCGTTGTACTCCAACTCGGCTTCCGCCAGGGCAGTTCCGGAAGACGGTGACCAGTACACAGGCTTGAACTTGCGGTAGATCAGGCCGCGACTGACCATTTTCTGGAAGAGACGCAGCTGGTTGATCTCGAAGGCCATGTCCATGGTTGTCCAGCGGTTCTCCCAGTCACTCATGACGGCATATGTCCGGAAGCTATCCATCTGCTCCAAAACTGTCTTGGCAGCCAGACTGCGCGCTGCCTGGCGGATGGCATGGGGTGTCATGGTCCTACCTTCTTCGGTGCTGACGGCCTTGAGCTCGATCGGAAGTCCATGACAGTCCCATCCTGGAATGTAGGTGACACGCTGGCCTGACGTAACACAGCTGATCAGTCAAAGGTTCGGAGCGCTCGGAGAATCAGCCGCCTGGCATCGTTCGCGCACCTTGCTGGACCTTAGTACGGATGATGATGTCCTTGAGGATCTTGTTCAGGGCATGACCGGCGTGAAGGCTGCCGTTGGCGTAGGGAGGGCCATCGTGGAGGAGGAAGGTATCGTCAGCAGGGCGGTTGGCGGCCTGCCACTTGTAGAAGTCATCGGCGCATTTCTTGATGTATTCTTTGTGGTGGGTGGGGAGAGGGCGCGGACTGTCTCGTCTGATGTCAGTATCCGCACAGATGTCTGGAGAGACGGTTCATGTTCTTACGGAAGAGTGGACTTTGGCAGTCTCAGCGTGGAAGACCAGTTCTTCGACATGTTTGACGCCTCATGTTGGGGTTGGATACAGTAAATGCTCGACAGGAATCGCAAACCTCCAAGGCGCTGTGAATTTTCGCGACGCGATATCGCACAGAGGGGCAGCGCAGCCCCCGTCAGGCTGCATAGCTCCTCGCTAGCTCCCGCTCTGCCCCTGTAAACGTCGGCGCTGCAAGGCTGCCCGGTCCGCTGAGCTAAGGACGGGTGCACGACATGGCAACCGCCAACCCCACTGCTTCCTTTGTCAACAAAGAATACATCGTCATCAACATCCGTCTCATACCCGCCACTTAACAAGACAGAGTGTATGACCCACGCGTGTACTAGATATTATTTATCCATGGCGCCGATAAGACGTTACCTTCGGATCACAAAGTATTCGGTGCTCGAATGTCGTATCTACCTCGACAACCCGGCCTTGGCACACTCATGGCTTCTAAACCCCAGGAATCCTATGCTTGCCAAGGTCATCGAGGCCGTCCGTCCACTAGTACTGCCAAAGCTGCGTGAGGAGAGGGAACGCGCGCAAAGCAAGAAGAGCAGCAAGAAGCGGAGTATCAAGGACGTGGTCATCGAGGGTATGTCTGGCTATTGTTCGGCCCAACACCATAACAACCTGCCTCCCTGATCCGTCGCGTTATGGCTGATGTGCACTACCTGTAAACTGACATCTTCATAGATGACTTTGAAGTGTCCGTCTTTCTTGCGGAAACAGACACTCGACACTCCCTGTTGCACAAGCAAAAGCACTTTCGAGACAAGGTCCAGACCAAACTAAAATCCAACTCGTCCAAGCTCACGGGAGAATCACGTGAAGCACCTATCGACGTTGACGTAGAGGCCGCTCTACTTCGGGAGGCAGCCGACGACGATGATGTGCCCGTTCTACGAGAGGATGGTAGCGAAGATCAGGAGGTCAATCTAAACGATATCCCTACCGTTGATGAAACGGACGTCATATCCGACCCCGCCAATAGGAGATCAAAACGACGACGTCAACAATCATCGGGACCAAAGAATGAGGGTGGCACCGATGACGAGACCCAAGCGGTTGCCTCGGACCTATCAGACGATGATGGCCTGTTCATCGGTGACAGCGACGATGCTGGGAGCGAAGGGCCGCCGGAAAGGAAGCGTCGCAAATCTAAGCAGCCCGCTGCTCAGGAGGAAGAACGTGATGACAAAAAGAAGCTCGCTATGGACATATCATACGAGGGCTTTGCCATCTACGGCCGCGTACTCTGCCTTGTCGTGAAACGGCGGGACGTTGAGAAAACCGTTACTGGGCCTTCGAGTGGCAAGGCTCTGACGGCCCAGCCTGGCGGCCAGGCGATGATGGAAAACTGGATCACGTCTACACAACTTCCCGAGGCTGCCGTAGGAGAGGACGACGCGGTTTGAGACGGCTGCCAAGCTGGCGGTTCGGCTGAAGTTGGTCCACCAAGACAGTCCTTCATGGCTATCACGATGCCACTTTACAAGGGATGGGAAAGCAGGAGGACCCAAGCAAGCTTCTCTTCCCTCCTCCGCCTTCCATCACACCGCCTGCTTTTGACAGTTCTTTCAGGCTCCCTGGATTTCATCGGGACTCGGAGTGACCTCTCCGCCGCTCATCACCAGGCACCGTGGTCAGGTTAGACAGGCCAGCTCATCATCCTGTCTTCTGATGTCATCAACGGCTTATTGCCCCACGGTCTTGAAACGAACAATTCAGCCTGGAATGCGATCTACGGATGTTGTGCACCTAGCGTTTTTCCAGATGCTTGGTATGCCTGGTGTACCTGTTGTACCTGTCGTATCCGGAACCCTCAGCAAGGCAAGGTTCTTCTTGGCCTTCAAAACATTCCATTTCGCTCAACCGATTGGTAGATTTCGCTTCCCAGGGCACGAAAAGGGCATGGTGGATACCTTGGCAGAGATTGCCATGCTGCCAGGACGTGATGGGCAATCACACCACATAAGAAACTGTGATTGCAACTCCAAGGATGAATCATCCGTACGGAAATACCTTGGTCTGGGGTAGTTTTACCAACACGGTACGTACGTACCCTTACGTTACAGGCCTCATTCCAGATGATGCAATCGGCAGCCTTTTCAGTCCCTTTTTAGGGATCGACCACCAACCCAGGCACATGAAACACGCCTCCCCCTGACGAAATTAAACTCGTGTAATAAACACCGAACGACTCTTGATGCAGCCCACACCGGATCTGGGGCAAAAGGAGAATATCCAATTTCACGTTGAATTTCCATCAATAACAACACCGAAGTTCCAGTTCATGGATGCCGATCAAGCCGCTGGCATATGATTTACAAATCCATCATGGGGGGGGGGGGGGGGGGGGGGGGGCCATGATGCATCTTGGACAGTGGCCAACCTTGGCGCTCCACTGGTCCCTGATGTTCAAGTAAGATCTCGATAACCGTACATTGTTGTCGCATCTTGGTGGACTGACTATCACTCGGTTTTTCGTCAGCATTTCATTGGGTGGTGACGGTTTTCAAAACCTATATCATATTACTGGAAGATAGCAGAGGTACCAGTACGGTTGTCGGGGATTTATGGATGTATCTTTTTTACAGTGGAGGCAGGAGTACCACATTTCCCCATCTGTCTTGAAGTTGCTAGAAAATCCCCAAAGGATCAGGAACGGCGATTTATGGTCTTGGCTTGGTCCGATTCCGGTTTGAGGTTGTCGAAATGCTGGATCGCTGAGTCAGACATTCTTGGAGAGTCCCCCTGTGTTGTCTCCGACACTGTCAATGTTGCAATATCGGACAGCTTTTCATGACCCAAGGACGCGGACTCAGCGTCGTAGTAGGTGTTGTCAGCTGAACAAACACAGAGTCTGGAGCTAGAAAGGTCGGATTCAGAGCCCGAAGATGGTGTGTTGATAATTTCCCTCCCTATGCACCACTGGCATACCTCTCACAGGGTAGCCGTAGCATATCTTTCAGACTTCCTTCAAGTTGTGCGTAGTATAGACAAGAACACTGTGGGGGATGATGAGTTCCGCGGGAGCTATCCGCTGGTATTTTTGGTATAGGGGCCCTGACTAAGATAGCGACCACAAGATATCGGTTTACGCTGTGAAGCACCCCCACGCGGTACCGCAGGACTACGATGCTCATCATCTCCCCAGGTTTATCTAGCTTCACGTTTATCCATAAGGGGGAAAGGGGAAAATGCGGTATGCCCTGGCATCTAGAGGGGAGGAAATACTACGCTAGAGTGACCAGGCAGAGGATAAATTTAAGAAACTCTAACGAAAAAAGGGATGATATGTAATGTCGTTGGCTTGGGTTTAGTGATAGGATCATTCACACATACACTTGCAACGCATAAAAATGACAGGTCACTTTTTGGTGCCAGCATAGAATTGAATGCTCTCTGCCTGGACGAAGTAGTACGAACTGGAATTTGGTGACACGCCCAGATGAATGACTTGCATCCACAGCAGATAAAGTACAAATCAAGAATCAACTATATATAACATATAAAAAGAGAATGAAAAATAAAAGGAAAACGAAAAGGGAAAGTAGTATATGATGCATTCAAGCGTAATGGTTCTGTAGATGCATATGCTTGATGGTAGAGAGAATGTATTATGGCAGTTGTATGTCGTGGAGGAAGAGACAGATCAGCTGTTCCATATAAGTAAGTCATCCAATACAAAATGTTAACCAAATCCAAGGCGCGATGACCGAGTGGCCTAAGGTGTTTGACTCGAACTACCTATTCGAAACCTATCAAATCTCTTCGGCCGTTCCATATAAACAAGTTATCCAATACAAAATGTTAACCAAATCCAAGGCGCGATGACCGAGTGGCCTAAGGTGTTTGACTCGAACTACCCATTCGAAACCTATCAAATCTCTTCGGAGGCGCAGGTTCAAATCCTGCTCGCGTCGCTTGAACCTCTTTTTTTTTTTTTTTTGCAGATTTTTAGATGCTTTTTGGTGTTTTTTTCCACATCATCCAAACAAAGCGTTTCCAGACTTTTTACTACCTTTTAGTTTCCACTTCTACATTAGATAATGCTGTTTCTTATATTCTTTTTGTTTCGGTTCATAGGTTTCTTTTTTTTTTCTTTGTTATTTCTAACTGTCTTGTCTTGTGTAGTATAATAGCAAGATGTGGAACTATGTGTGGTATGATGATTGCTGTGCAACGGTGATGGAATTTCTCGAGTGGGTTGTCAGTTGGGTGAGCATGAAGTTTTCATTGTAGAATATCGCACGATGTAGTAAAGTCGCTCGTTCGCCTCGCCTACAAATCTCCTTAGCGTCATCACCAAGCTACTATATACGCAGTTGTCAGGGTCGCTGGAAAATCGAAAGCAACACAAAGCTAGACGACGTCTGTGCAGTAATCGTGCACTTGACTCTATCGCTGGCATCCGAGACATGGTGCAAGTACGACGCTGTAGCTGAAGGCTACGGTGACATGACATTTAGAATGCTAGCTGGCGATATGGCCTCATGGTCTGGGCGTGATATCAGGGCACTGCACTTGTGCCAAGAAGATGGCCGGATTAAACCGACCAAGATCATACATATGGCGCCATCTCAACAAGCACAACACAACACAACTGCCAAACAGACAGAGGGGCGAACGGTAGAGGGAGAATCCTCCAAGGGCGAAGGAGGACGAACTGGTTGTGATGCAGGTTCGTTTATCACCTAGTTCCGGTGTACACAGGTACTGTGTACCAAAACCGGTCATATGTGCATCATCGCCTGATATCTGATATCCGTTTTCCGTTTGCGCAAGCGGTTGCAGAAGAGGCGGCCACCCTCACCGCAACCATCACGAACGTCATGTAAAACAGGCTAAAATGGGGCAAAAGCCAAGACAAGATTGTATTATGTGCAGTGTGTAGCAGTCAGTGGCTGGTGTATGTATGCCTCAATTGAATGGGAGAGACATTGCCTACGTCCCGATGGAGGAATGATCGTTAACTTGTTTAGTAGATGGCGTGTCGTACCCTGTTATTCCCCATCAGGTAGATTTAATGTGAGTGTTTGTTGCACAGGCGAGATCTGGTACGCGGCGGATGTTACCAAACAAACCTTGGACACACCAACCCTTTTGGATTGCCGAAACAACCGACCGACACCCGGCTTGATGACAAAAACAAATAAAGTCATCTACATTACTCCAGGTTGCCAAGAACAGGACAGGGCTAGGAGTAGGAACAAGCAGGGTCCAACATTACATACCCTCATAATGTCGGGTGTTGGTTGGGAAAGAAACTGTTTTCTCTTCCATCTCTGTGAGATTGTGGTACAGTAGCACCGTTGACGGGTACCTGGGCAGCGAGAACGTCGGAGCTACCAGCGCAATGGAACCCACCGTATGTCCGTAGTGTCGCAGCATCGAACACTTGAATCATGAGAACACAGCCCTTGGCAACATTGACACAGGCACGAAATTTAGCAAAGTGGGAAGAGAGGGTTCATAGTCTGGCACTAGCGGCAATTCCCCAACGTTGGTCCCTCTTTTCATTTTTTTTTTTTTTTTTTTTTTTTTTTTTTTTTTTTTTTTTTTCACTTAGCCTCATTGTCGTCGTCCTCGGGACTCGGTTCACTGCCCTCTCTAGAGGCATGGGTTGAGTTTAGTCAGATAATGGTACGTAAGTTTGTTGAGATGAAGCGTGAAATTTTCGCTCCAGAAACGAAGTCGGAACCAACCGAATCGCGGTAACATTGAATACGTGGAAACGTCCACCCACACTTTTCCAAAGTTTCAATGATCGACACTCATCGCCGTCAGCGGTAGCGTCCTGTAGCGCCGTAAGCTTGACCGAAGTAGGTAGTCTCGCCGTAGTGGTGTCCACATGGAGCCATGGTAAGACACCCCCAGATATCAGCAAATTTTAATTTAGTGTATGCGGGGCGAAGGGACGGCAAGCCAGGCAGACGTCCAAACAAAATTTGGTGACAACGTTGGACATGGTGGTCGTTATTGTTGGAGAAAGTACACCAAGACAAACCACATCATAACGATGAACCCCGGAGATGATGACGGGAATATCTTGGCTCCAACATCTGACTCGGCTCTTGGCTGCGGCTCATGAGATAATGTGAGGAAACCGACCATGGCACCTCAACCACAAGATGTTTCGAGGCGGTAGCAGAACAAACAGCTTATTGAATGGCCTTCATCTCCATCATGAGAACATGTATCGACACAGCAGCACTTAGTGCTGGCGCTGATCATTAAAAACCACACTTGCCATGATGATGTTGCGCATCAATTTTGATCCCCTCCCCCAACGTGAAAGACGAGATCGGAGAAGAGGGACACCGACAAAGTTCGGACCAAGCTACACCAACCACAGATCGTTAGCGGCTCGTAGTCTTGTCCAGTCCAGCCAGGGGTGTTCATTTAGGTCCACGTTGTTCGCTCGGTGCGGACGAGCAGCTCTTCCCACGTGGCAAGACAGGGGTCTAGATCGCTCTTCTGTCAGGTACGGCATATGGCGCAAAATAGTGCATACACTACCCCTGAGCAGCTGTAAGTTTGCTGGAACGGGATGCCAACCACCCAGTGTCGCCAACTCCGAGAGGAAATTGTCCGTTTCGCCGTGGTGAACAGTGTCAACTCCAGAGAAGACACCTCCCAGGCTGTTCACTGAACATGATAAGCCCTGCCGTATCATGTTGATGCGTTTCAAACCGAACGAAACACTTCGTTTCAGGATCAGTGTCCCTCGAGTTGGTGTTAGTGTAAAATACTGTAATGATCTTACGAGCGACTAGTCTCGCTTCCATCAGTCTTTTCCATTTTCAACCAGCCTTTTCCTCTCTCGTCGCCCGTTTCCCCAATCTCCGATGGAAAATCAGATGGAGGTTCGCGAGTTCGTCTGACTTTGGACCGGCGGATACAGACCGTGGGGCGCATCAATCGTGAAATTCTCGCTTGGCGTTGCTTTGGTTGAGAGATACAGGCGAGAAATTGGATATCTCGGCCGCCCTAGCTGATCAGGCTAGCTGGAAAACCCCGAGAATGGCCTGGAGATGGTGAGCTTTGGAAAATGGAGTGAGACCATGATCTTCCTCGGCTCGTTAACCTCCTTGCTCTGTCCTTTGATTGGTGATAATCCGAGCCCTCATCCCTGACGGCCCAGCTATGAAGCTATGTATCAAAGGGTCGATGTGTTTGGCGTGCCTAGTGCCGTACCTGGTCGCTTCGCTCGAAACACTCCGTAGCAGCTGACCGGGCTGGGCGAACGTCGCGCACCAAAAAGCACTCCGCATGACACCAGGGTGAGCAGAAGAAACCTTTGAGGCCGCGATTACCCAATCAGAAGAAGCAGTACCTATCATCAATACGTACGATTGAGATGAACATTCAATTGTTCCTGACTTGGAGAGATTCAGGGTCGGCGTCTAACCCAAAGCGAGCACGCCTCCACGTGGCCCCAGGTGCGCGCCCATATCGGTAATCCGCTGCTAACCGACACCTTACCATAAGAAGACAACTCTATCACGTCATTGAAGCACATATCGTGCGGGATCTCGTGATGAACTGGAGGGTGGCCTTGGGCCTTCGGGCTGAGTCGTTCCCCTGGAGGTTCTTAGTGCGCGGATACTTACGTGCCGACAACAAATAACCCATCCTAGGCCACAGCGTGATAGTGGTGAACCCCAGCCTTGAGGGTAATGCGGCTCTGGTAACACAAGACGGCGCAGATCAGGCATCCGGTAGCCATAAGGGAGACGAGACAGATGGAGGGGAAGGGCAGAGGGATGGGTAGGACAAAGGTACAGATGCTACCTCTACCCAGATAATTTCAAGGGAGCAGTGCCATATCTTACCGCTACTACGCTACTGATCTGAACTAAAGTCGTGATGCTGTGCCCGTTAGTCTTGCACAGAGACGACGGCACAGATTGAAAGTTTTGTTACCACGGGTCACATACCATTGGTGCGTGCCTGCTGGCTGTATACATAGTGCGGATCCTGGAGCTGCGCAGCTGGCGCCCTCGTTTTTTTTTTCGGTGGATATGCTTAGCCAAGCCCACGGGCAAGCGCGCCTTGCTGGAAACAGGGCACATTCTGATAGCTTCCCTTCATCACAGCCTTTGCTATTCCGAAAGAGCCGTAGGACTGTCGTGGTTGTGTCAACCCCCCCGCCCGATATCCCACGGTTGAGGCCGGTGTGCCGGTGGTTCCGTGGGCCAGTGTTACCACTGCGGTGGTAAGAAGGCGGTGGAGGACTGCTTACGCCGTGCGACTCTCGCCGGCCAAATGATGTGATGGGAATCTTTCTCCATGCGCATGTGGCTGCTGTCTTCGAGTGCGGCAGTCATTTATTATGTCCGAGACGTGTCACATTCCTTCGTCGCAACAACCCGACCAGAGTGAGTGCCTTGTTATCGGTCAGCATATAGCCCCGTTGCCTGATACTCTCCGCTATCGCATCATGTCTAAGCCGCCTCGCGCCTCGCTGTTGGACGCAGCGTGTTCATCCCTAGCCTATGGCGATCACGATGGAATTGTCGGAGGTCTGTCCCTGCTGCCATGTGAAAATTTGTTTAGATGCATGACAGTTTCCATGGTTCAGGGCCTCGGAGCGGGCCACCGACGACATTGCGCCGGCGGTGTGGTGGTCAAGGTGAACGGGAAAAAAAAATGAGTATCGGTGAACCTGGCAGAGTGAAGATAGCTTGATCAAACGCTCCAAGAGATGGGATCCCGGCGACACGTTGCCGTTTCTTTTGCTCCGCAGCTTCCAGAAGGTTGGAAAATTTTTGACAGCCAATCCCCAGAGCCCCAACCCAGCCGAGGTGAAAAGTAGTTGGTTCCGGTGCTCTGTAATCGGTGCCTGTATCTGGCCGTATACGACCGAGACAGGGAAGGAGGTTGTGAAAAGCTGGGCGAGTTGAGTCAGATGACTACACTGTTATATATTCTTGCCGGGATAAACATGTAAGCCACATGAAAACCAACTCTCACAACATCATGGACAGGGGTACGACAACTCTTGAGATGGCGGCCGAAGTACTGTACAAATGATACTTTGCAAAACTGAATGGTAACCTGTCTGTCTTTTGACGAACCATGATTATTGCCAGCCATCTGGTTTCTTCCACGAAATTCTTGGCAACATCACCGAGCGAGGGGTAAGCTGGCAGTGCTAGATATCGGGTGCCGACGATACGAAGCGGAGGTCGATTTGCTGTGCTGACCCCGCACTAGAGATGATAATCTGGCATGTGAAGAAGCGGTTGGGACCTTTGGGTGTTCATGCGTCATGGTT